TTGTAATAAGTATATATTTTTTTTGTCATGAGTTTATATTAAAAGAATAATTGTTGATATTTAATTTATTAATTATTTAATTAAATTCATCAACATGATAATGATATTAAAATTAATATCAGATTTTACATTGTTCTATATAAATTAATGACAAAAAGGTATATCTAAGAATCTCAAATTCTAAATCTTAAATTAGGTTGGAAGATTTAGAAAAATGTGAGGATTATTCCCTCCTATATAGCATATTATTATCAAATGTACCAAAAAAGTGTATTTAAGAGCAAAAATCAAAATATTTTGGCATTTTAAACATTAGCATTTCTTGTAAAATTATTTAAATACCCTTAATAAATATTTTTGTATTTATTCACTAAAGGTACTTTAATCATTTTATTATTATTTCTGATTTTTTAATTACATTTCAAAATTATTTAAAAGACAATTAAAATGCCACAAATGAAAATGAAAAGACTAAAATGCCTTTAGTGAATTAACATAGAAAAAACATTTATTAAGGATATTTAAATAATTTTAGAAGGAGTCTTGACATTTAAAGTGTTAGATTTGTGTCCTAAAAGACACATTTTTGTTATTAATTTATATTAAAAAAATGTAAAAGCCAACATTAATTTTAGTGTCATTGTTACATTGAAGAATTTAATTAGATAATTGATAAATTAAATATCAACATTTATTCTTTCAATATAAATTTATGATGAAAAAATGTATTTATCATACTTTTAATATGTGCTCTATGAGGAGAGGATAGAAAAATCCTTTCATAATACTCTTTCTGTTTATTTTTAATAGACTTAGTTTTTTTGTTAAATAAAATAGAGATGTAATAATTTATTGATTCATATTTATCCCTAATTAAATACTACTTAAATAAGATTTTTTATTTAATATATATTATAATTATCTTTTTAAACGAGAGAAAAATAAGAATAAATACCTTAAACGACATCCTAAAAATGAAAAGTGGATAATTAAATTTAAATACATCAAATAAGAAACTAGATCTACTAAAGTTGAATGAAAAGAGAAATTAATGAAAAAAAATAAGGAACATGTTAAAATTTTTTTATCAATTAAGTGATTTAATTAAATTT